CGGCGGGACTGCTGCTCGAGGAGGAGTCGCGTGAGCAGCGCCTGCTGCGTGCTGTGGTACACGCGTGGCGTGCCGTCGGCGTAGGCGGAGCGCAGCGCGTGCGCGCGGGCCGCGTCCGCTTCGGGCGTGCCACGCAGCTTGCCGTCGCGCCCCATCTCGTCGAGGTACGCCTGCAGCATCTGCACGAGCGGCGCCGCGCGCGCAGCCATGCAGCCGCCGTTGAGGAAGCGGAAGAGAGTGTTCTTACGCAGGCGCTCCGCGTCCCCGGTGCGAGAGCAGTGGTAGCAGTACGCCTCCGCGCCGAAGACGACGTCCGCGCCGGCGTGCGCTAGCACGGCGTGCGCCGCTTGGTGCAGCGCCGTCACGTTGCGCTGGTAGAGGATGTCCGTGCCGTCCGTTTCACGACCAGCAGCGCGTTGGGCGGCAGCCGGCGCGCGAAGAGTACACGGGGACGCACTGCTGGAAGAGCGGCTCCTCCCGCAGCGCCTTGAACATCGCCACGCGGCATGTGGCGTTGTACATGCACTCGATGTCGTCGTCAATGATGATGTCGTCCTTGCAGCGGGGCGACTCCATCCACGAGCGCACATGGTAAGCAGTGCGCTCGCACCCCGCCTTTGCAAAGACATTGTTGCGGACGAAGTTGCGCGGCTCCTTCACCTCACCGAGGTGCCGCGCCGCCTCCTCGACCGCGTGTTTGGACGCCGTGACCGTGGGGCCGCGTCCGCCTTGACCGCCTCCGCATGGGCCTCCGCCTGCTTCGCATGCGAGAGGGCGGCCTCGGCCGAGCAGATGTCCGCCTCCCACTCAGCCGCGTCGTCCGGGTGCATCGTCGTGTAGAACCGGTTCCACTCCGGAGCCAAGTCGCACGTCCCTGCCTTGCAGCAGAGGCGGCGGAGCGCACAGCCAATGGCGATCGGGCGGATGCGCGCACTGGGCCCCTCCGTGCACAGCGGGTCCTTGTAGAAGGCGCACGCCCGCACGTCGCAGATGATGCCCTTGACGCCGTCGGTCACGGTGCCGCACCAGATGGCTTTGCACATGCCCCTGATGCCGTCCCGCGCACCACACTTGTAGATGACACTCCAGTCCTCCATGGTGTCCCCGAGGATACCTGGCGCGCGGAGGCGTGGCGGATTGCAGAACACCTTCTCGATCGAGGCATCCTTCGGCTTGTACGCCTTCACGCCCCTGACAGGCTTGAGCAGCCCCGGTGCGATCTGCTTGTTGGCCTCGTACTGCGCCTCCGCGTACTTCAGCTTGCACGCCGCTTTCCCTGGGTCGACCGCAGGCTGCAGCCGGCGAAGCGCAGCTCCAGCCTCGCCCGCACGCGCCGCATAGAGAGCGCGCCGCTCGTTTGTTCAAGAGCGCGCCGCCCCCGAGTCGCGCACAACCTCGCGCATCGGCGCCGTCTCCTCCTCGTCGTCGGCGGAGGCGTCCGCGACGAGCGCTTCCACCATCCTACGGAGTGCGGCGGGGCTCGAGGCAGCCTCCTTTGCACGCTCGATCACCTCGTCGTCGCTCCGGCACTGCTGCCCACGCGGCCTCTGAAGGATCGCGGCATGAAACATGTGCAGGCACTTCAGCGCCGACTCCCCCTTGGGGCCGGAGATGCCGGTTTGAGGTCCTTGCTAGCGATCCCGAGCGCCTTCGCAAGACAAGACACAGTGGCCAGGGGCGGGGCTTGCATTTTTGCCGTCGCCAGTCGCACTCCCAAACGCTACAACGGGGGCGGCGGCGGTGGCGGGGGCGGCGGCGGCGGCGCGACGGGGTTGGTAGGGGGGTGGGGAGGTGGGGAGGCTGCCGTGCTCGAGAGCACTCGAGCTGCCGTGTGCGCTGCGCGTGCCCGGTGCGCGCACCGCACACCATACGGCGGGAAACAGACGGCGAGGGGGGCGCGGCGGCAGCGGCGCAGCGCGCGCGCGGCGCGCGCGACGGAGGGGCGGAGCAGCGACCGCTG